TCTTGGAACATATTGACATTCATTTATTTAAAGACAATGTACCACATTTGCATTCACTAAGGTAATCTGTAGATATGATTAAACATGGATGCCCATTTCATACTAAGGAATAAAATGAAAAAATTGCAGATATTTTGTACTGGTAAAAATAGCTCACAGTAAATTGAGGAAATTAATTTGTGGCTTATTTAAAACACAATTGCAAACAATTATAAGGAAACAAAATCACCATGGGTAACTGCTATGCCAAAACAGTTATTCTACCCAATAATGGGACATTGAAGCAGGACTAACAGGGCAAGTGCCTCAAAAAGAGCATCAGTGACTGTTTGAGAATGTCCTTTTACCTCCATTAAAATAGATGGGTGCAGAGGCATGGTTAGGCAGTGGTAGATATATTATTAATGAGAGCATAACTAGAGATAATGACATGGAATTAAACAGTTTTAATATTAACTAAAGAATGCATTTGTAGAAGGTTGGAAATATGACTTCAAGATTTATATTTATATCAGGATTTTCTTGTTAATGCTCTAATTCATAAAGCAGTCTATTGAGTCAGGTCTAACAATCATTAATTTTCAAAGATTCAGATCTGGGAAGCAAAAAAAAGAAATAAGAGCATGGGCTAAAATACACAGAAATGTTAAAAAATGTCATTTTAATCAAATTTGCAAACTTTTTATGCCTTAAGAAAAAATTTTACTTTGAAAGTGTCACCAGAAACACAGTATCACTTATCAAAAATGAGTTAAAAAGTTTTCTTGCAAGTGGTTCTAATTAGTGGCCCACTTGTAGTTCAAGAACAAAGCTGTTTTCATTCCACTGACAGTGTTGTCTTCTTTCAACATTATTCTTTACCACAGGCACATCAGGGCTCCCTTTTCCCAGAGTTAATACCAATTCTTCTAGGCAGGGTTTCCTATAGCAGGAATAATTAAACAGCTTTGTTATTCAATAAAGAAGTAATTTTCAGATGTTACCCTTAAAAATATAACAGTTATTTTACTAGCATAAATGGATTTATTCAGAAACAGCAGAGAATTACAATTCAGAACAAGCAAGCTATGGCAAACCACAGGCAAGTCCAGACAACAAAGGAGAGGAGGCTCTTTTATACAGGAAAGAGAAGTTGGAGGACTGTTCTAAACAAAAAGCCCTCTGGAGGAAACTGCGTCCCATGGTGTCATGGTTGTTCATTGGCTGAGCTGCGGCAGCCTCTCATTGGCTGGCCTGTTGCTGGGAGAGATGGAAACCTTCTCTCCTCCTGCTAGGGAGTAAAGTAGCCAAAACAATATGACTTGGAAAATGCCCTCTCTTCCTTCCAGTGGGACGGCAATTGAAAAGGAAGGGTGGGTGTGGGAGCTCCCCCTGCAGGCCTCTAGTGCATGTCAGTGAGGTTGCCTTTATTAACTGTCACACAGTTACTTTGAAGTTGCTAGAAAGAAAATTAAATCTTATCTGCATTAATTAAAAAGTATTCCATATGTGATAATATTTCCACAGCAATACTTTTACTCTAGGATGGCAGTGAACAGAGAGAAAGTACATGTTAGTGTGTGAATCCTATTCTACTTTCACTATCAGGAACATGTACACTCTGAAATTCACTTTATTCACTAGGAAGGAATGACTCAGACTTACAGGAATAAATTCAATTAATATCTAATTCCCCAATCAATTTTTCTTCCTTTATCAGTAATTTTGTTAGAAAGTCAGTATTCTTTGCTGAGGTAAAAGTGCTTAAAATCCAGGTTTATAAGTAATAATATACTCTTTCATTTAAAAAATTTGTTTTAATATATCACATAATATAGGATTATGTGACTTTTATTTTAAAAATTTATGCTTTTTAGTATATCACATAATATAGGATTATGTGACTTTTGATTTCAAGGGTTTAAAAATGCAATGTACCAACTCCCATCTGGCTTCTGCGCTCACATCAGAGTACCACTGGGGAAGGTAAGGGTAAGAGTGAGACCTGATCATTCCTCTGGCACCAGGGCATTTGATGGCATCTCTAATGTGGTGTGTAATGTGAACTGGTATTCACCATTTCCATTCCGTTCTCCTTCTGGCTGGACATGTGAAAAAATTACTGCACTTCTCACATTCTTCTAAAGCTAAATTCTTAGTGTAAGTTAGGATTATGTGACTTGGAGGTAGAAGTGAGACAAGGTCCTCTTCCCCTTCAGCTCCTTCCACTAGGAAACAAAGTCTTGGATATGTCAGGTTCTTCTGTCTGGTTCTCCAGGAGCTCATCCTCGGGGATCAGAAGTCATTACAGCAGCTGAAGCAGCACCTGCTTATCAGGCCAGTCTGAGCCCTGGGCCACAGTGGCTGGCCACGCCTGGAACCCCCGGTACTATTGAGGGCCTTAGAGTTCTATCTGAGGTAAAAGCAGTCACCTCTGTTCCATTCTGGGAGGGAGGATGCAACAGGTTTCGGCCCTTAAAAATTTAGAAATCTAAAGAACTCATGTATAATATAAATAACACAGTGATCATTTTTCCACTGGGGAACCTTGTTGTTATTGGGTTGAAACTCCAAGAAGGTTGTGAGGTAAACATGGAATGAGAGTAAAACTGGATAGGGTTTTTTGGTTTAACACCCCATCCAAGTAGTCATAAAGAAATGATGTCTGCATGGTCTGGATTTTCCAAAACAGTGCTGATTTTAAATACTAAGTATTTAATATTTGGTTAGACAGTATCACAATAACTATAGACTACATCTTTCCAGGGACTAAAATGTAGTATTTATATCCACTTGTGAGATGTGATAATGAAGTCATGAGACTCTAGGTACTGAATTTGCTAAAGAAAACATCACACATAACCTCTATTCTTGGTTGTGCTTTCCATCCACTCTTGTAATCTTTTATGCATGCATCCTCTCTAGTGGGGATGGCTAAACACTCAGTTCTCCATCCCACTACTTTTCCTCTCACTTTTGGTAGATCATCTGATGGGTGTAGCTTGAGTCAATCGCTCATCCATTGGCTGGGTCAGCAGAAGGTGTCTAAATTAAGAATGCCACTAAGACTGCATATGAGGTAAAGTAACTCCCCCAAAGCAAGGAGGGAATGGATGTCTGTAGCTATAGAATGCAAACTCCTTGATGGGTACATGTGACCCATCATGACAAGGGACTGCCTAATTCTTCAGCATGCTCTTCTACCAGCTTTCTCTTTAAACCCAATCAGTTACACATGCTATACGCTGTCAGCCCACACACTGTTGTACTACCATTCCCTATTCTTAGCTTGGTACTCTGCAGTTTCATTCAAAACCTGGTCTAGTTACCGTCTCTTTAGGCCATCTCTGACAGTTCCTTCTCCCTTGCTTCCCCTCCAGGTCAGATGCCCTTCTTACTTGCCCCCTACACCCAAAGTTATTATGATGTGTTCAAATTGTGATCTTGCTGTTCTCCCTAGACTGTGGGATCCCTAAAGCAGGGTAATGCCAAACTCACCTCACTAATCATCGATGCTTAATACAGCAGCAGGTATTCAATAGGCATGAAAGTTTTTGAATGCATAACACTAGTGCCATTACTTATTAATAAACCCTAGTGTGGTCTCCCTCGGACAGTGCTGAAAAATGTCAGATTCAAAATTTTCAATTCTCTTTTAGTCTTCTGTTTACCAAACACATTTGTTTTTACATCCCTGAACTGGTGTATTGACAGTATTTTTACACTGGTGTATTATGTGAAGCCTGCTTCCTGAGCTACTGGGGAGTGGCTTTATCCTCATCTTGTTTGTTCATTCTTGCCAGCTTTAGACAGTGGCCTTTGTTGACTTAGTACACAAAATTATACACCTTAGGCCACTGCTCTTGAATACTGTGTAGCTACTCATACCAGACCATTTGGTATATCTAAAAGCCCTCTACATTCTGATCACCAGTGTCTTCCTGTGTCCATCTGCAACCCAGGGCTAATAATGTCTGCCTTGCATATTGCTGATAATAGGGAAATAAATACATGTAAAGCATCTAGCACAGATCAGCCATAGGGTACGTATTTGCCTAGTAAGTTGTTCAGCACACCCGGGGAAAAGACTTATTTCTACTGAGCTGTGTGACACAGGACTACTTGCAAAGGTTAAAAAATATATCAGAACAGAAAGTAGCAGAGTCTGTCAGTTGTCTGCCGAGATGCATTCTTCCCTCCTTTTTTGGAAAGGAATTTTATTGAATTAGGTGAGGCCATGTTACTAAGGAGCTCAAGCTAGTGAGATATGGGTAAAGTTGTTGGGTGGTGCCTTTTGTAAAGTAAGAATGTGAAGGCTGGGGCCCCAACAACGATCTTGGCCCAAATTTGTGGATGGAAGAAAGTCTGCATCCCTGGGGCACCTACCTGACACCTTTCATGAAGGAAGGAAAAACAGCCTTGGAGTATCGAATGTCGGAATTCGGGGGTTTCTGTTACATGCAGGCAAACTCCGTCAGCCCGTGTATGAAGGGCTGACTGCTGGGCTTGCTCTGCCTAGCACTCCACCCCTATGTAGTCCCTGGGAACGTCCCGCGACCAGCTAAGCGCGTGGCTGTCAGCACCAGGGCGGCACTAGAGGACCAAAGACAGGAAAAGGGCCCCAGCTGACCATCCTGGCGGCGGTGGCTCGCTCCACCGGGGCTCTGTCAGCTGTCTTCCACCGACTCTTTTCCCACCCAAGTCTGGCCGGGGTACGTAGTCAGAAAGGAACTTACTTGGGTTGCCCGCAGCCAGGCAGAGGCGACCCCGCGACCTCCCTCTTACACCTACGCCTTCACGGCCCCAAGACCCTCACGCCCGACTCCCTTACAGTCCACAGGCCGCAACCCGCGTACACCAAACCCACAGAACTCAACCAGCGACCAGCGCCCGCCGCCCGCTTTGAAAGGGCCCAGAGGAACCGCCCGCCGCAAGGGCCGCCTCAGGCTGCCATTGGCCAGCGTGCGTCACGTGCGGCAGTGCGCGACGGCGATTGGTGAGGCGAGCGGTGGCGGGGCGAGGCGCCGAGCGCGGCCCGGCCAGCGCAGCTTCAGCCCGGAGCGAGGGCTGGAGGTGGGTGGTCCGCTCGTCTGGCTGTTGTCATGCTGGCCGACGGTGCTGCCCATCCCGCGGGGGCAGGATGAGCGGCGGGCCTGGAGACGCGCCGGCCAAGCGCGACCTGTGGGGGCCCCTGCACCGCGGAGCCGCGACCTGCGGCTGCGGTAAGTGCTGGGTTCGTGGCGGCCGGACCGGGCTGCGTGCGGAGCGCAGGGTGGGGCTCACGCATGGAGGCTGCGGAGGTTCGGTGTCAAGCGAGCTGGGGGAGCACGGGCGTGAGGGCGGACCCCCAGGCAGTGTCCTCCGTCAGGCCTGAGGGGCAGCGCCTTGTCTGAGCCCCGCTCCCGGCCTTCGGGGACGGGGGCGACGGTGGGGGTCCCTGAGAGGTAGCCGGAGCTGGGGGAAGGCCGAGGCCTGCATGGCTCCCGGGGAGAGGACGTCCCCGGAGAAGGGGCCTCGGGGGAGGAAAGGCGAGGTTGCCTCCAGGACCCCAGAGGTCCCCCAGTTGCGCTAAGTTCCGTGACACACACGGACACGTAGTCATTTAACTTGGTCTCCACAAAGTAAGTGTCTTTAGCTTCTCTGAGGAAATCTAGTCGGGGGTGGGTTGGGGTTGACTTGCTACAGTCAGAGCTCCTGTGGACTGGAAGACCGGGGATTTGAACCTGTCTGTCTGTCTGTCTAAAACCACCTACTCAGATCGTCTCTGCCTCCGGTCCAGTGTCCAAACCATTTTGCGCACAAGAATTCCACCCTGTGACTCTTGAAAACGCAGATTCCAAGTCCCCCACTCTGAAATATGGATTCAGTATTTGGGACCATGCTTGGACATCTGCATTTTAATAACTTTCCCGGCAACTCTATTTGGGGGATCCCGCGATGATTGTGAGAACAACTGTTCTAGCCTAAAACCCCCACTCATGTCCTCTTGGGATTGTAGTAACAAAGGGACCCCAAATTTCCCTTCCTAGGCATAGATTCCATCTCCTCTTCAGACTGGTGACCCACCAAGCCTTGGGAGGAAGTGTTTTGCTGGGAGAAGCCCAGGTTTGAGAACTTTTTTCACTGCTGAACAGCTCTTACTTTGAGAAAGTGCTGACAATTTTGCTTTGGCCTTTTTCTTTTTGTAGAGCTTCCTTCAGTGTTATTTTGACCCTTCTAAAATAAACCAGACTCAAGGCATTTATTTATAGTTAGTATTAAACTTTAAGACACCATGAAAAAAAGTTAAACCACAATTCGTCAATAATGCCACCAGTCTGTTGTATTCTACTAACAATTCCCCTCTTTTTAAGCTTAACAAAATTTAGAAACTTCTTTGGAGAGATGGACTTGAACATAGAAATTCCTATTGGAAATCTGAAAATTATCTAAAGATAAAACCTTAAATAGTTTTGAAAGATATCTCAGCTTTTTTTTCCAAACTAAAAATGCTTCAGAATCTTAAGATTTTGTTCTAAACTAAGTGGTTAGTGGTGTGAAAATATATACATTGAAATGTTTCTTTTCCTAATGATAGCTGTTCTTTCCCACCTTACTTCAACCTCACCAAAACATATATTTAATTATTTAATTTGCATATATCCCGGTTCTAAAAATGCTGTCAGTTAATCAAAACATTTCTTTACAAATATTAACTAGCATTAATGCTCTTAATGTGTTGTTCCTGAAAAGGTTATGTTTACTTATTTTTTGGTTCTTACAGAGGCAGCATGGGGTAGAGGAAGTGAATTTTGGTTTAAGGAAAAGCTGGTATTCCAGTTCCAATACTCTCTTGACTTTGAGCCAGTGACTTCCTCTCTGATTCTCACTTTGCTCCTTATTGAGATGGGGACAATGCCTCCAGGGTTTTATATGAGACAGCATGTATAAAGCTTTCGTAGAAGACTAAACATAAATATTTTTCTAGTTCTTTCTCCTTCAGATTCTTTAGAGCAAATTTGTGAGTTTCAATCCTGATGTAATATTCAAGATCGTTTTCTTTTTTTTTATTAAGGTATATTAATATACAATCTTATGAAGGTTTCACATGAGCAACATTGTAGTTACTACATTCACCCATATTATTAAACCCCCCCAAAATCCTGCCCCCCCCTGCAGTCACTGTCCATCATGTGTAGCGAGATGCCTCAGAGTCACTACTTCTCTGTGCTACACTGTCTTCCATGTGACCCTCCCACATCATGTGCACCAATCATAATGCCCCTTAATCCCCTTCAACCTCCCCACCCCCCACCCCCTTTGGTAGCCACTAGTCTCTTCTTGGAGTCTGTGAGTATGCTACTGTTTTGTTCCTTCAGTTTTGTGTTATACTCCACAAATGAATGAAATCATTTGGTAATTGTCTTTCTCCTCCTGGCTTATTTCACTGAGCATAATACCCTCTGGCTCTATCCATGTTGTTGCAAATAGTAGGATTTGTTTTTTTCTTATGGCTGAATAATATTCTGTGGTGTATATGTACCACATCCTCTTTATCCATTCATCTACTGATGGACACTTAGGTGGCTTCCATATCTTTGCTATTATAAATAGTGCTGTGATAAACATAGGGGTGCAATGTCTTTTTGAATCTGGGATCTTGTTTTCTTTGGGAAAATTCCTAGGAGGGAATTCCTGGGTCAAAAGGTATTTCTATTTTTAGTTTTTTGAGGAACCTCCATATTGCTTTCTACAATGATTGAACTAATTTACCTCCCACCAACAGTGCGGGAGTGTTACTGTTTCTCTGCATCCTATTTGTTGTTCCTTGCCTTTTGGATGTTGGCTATCCTAACTGATGTGAGGTGATATCTCACTGTGGTTTACTTTGCATTTCTCTGATAATTAGAGATGTGCAGCGTCTTTTCGTGTACCTGTTGGCCATCTGAATTTCTTCTTTGGAGAAGTGTCTGTTCATATCCTCTGCCCATTTGCTTTTTGGGTGCTGAGGCATGTGAACTCTTTACATATTTTGGATGTTAACCCCTTGTTGGATATGTCATTTATGAATATATTCTCCCATACTGTAGGGTACCTTTTTCTACTGATGGGTGTCCTTTGCTGTACAGAAGCTTTTTAGTTTGATGTAGTCCCATGTGTTCATTTTTGCTTTTGTTTCTCTTGCTTGAGGAGATGTGTTCAGAAAAAAGTTGCTCATGTTTATGTTCAAGAGATTTTTACCTATGTTTTCTTCTAAGAGTTTTATGGTTTCATGGCTTACATTCAGGTCTTCGATCCATTTTAAGTTTACGTTTGTGTATGGAGTTAGACAATATTCAGTTTTATTCTCTTACATGTAGCTGTCCAGTTTTGCCAACACCAGCTGTTAAAGAGGCTGTCATTTACCCATTGTATATCCATGGCTTCTTTATCATATATTAATTGACCATATATGCTTGGATTTATATCTGGGCTCTCCAGTCTGTTCCAGTGATCTGTGGGTCTTTTCTTGTGCAAGTACCAAATTGTCTTGATTACTGTGGCTTTGTAGTAGAGCTTGAAGTCTGGGAGCATAATCCCCCAGCTTTATTCTTTCTTCTCAGGATTGCTTTGGCTATTTGGGGTCTTTTGTGGTTCCATATGAATTTTAGAACTATTTGTTCTAGTTCATTGAAGAATGCCATTGGTATTTTGATGGGGATTGCATTGAATCTGTAGATTGCTTTAGGCAGGATGGCCATTTTGACAATATTAATTCTTCCCATCCATTAGTTGGGATGTTTTTCCATTTATTGGTGTCTTCTTTAAGTTCTCATGAGTGTCTTGTAGTTTTCATGGTATAGGTCTTTCATCTCCTTGGTTAGGTTTATTCCTAGGTATTTTATTCTTTTTGATGCAATTGTGAATGCAATTGTTTTCCTGATTTCTCTTTCTGCTAGTTCATCATTAGTGTATAGGACTACAACAGATTTCTGTGTATTTATTTTGTATCCTGCAACTTTGATGAATTCAGTTATTCTAGTAGTTTTGGGGTGGATTCTTTAGTATTTTTAATGTACAATATCATGTTATCTGTGAACAGTGACAATTTAACTTCTTCCTTACCAATCTCATTGTGTTTTATTTCTTTGTGGCTTGATAGCTCTTTTTATGCTGTGGCTAGGACCTCCAGAACTATGTTGAATAAAAGCAGAGAGAGTGGGCATCCTTATCTTGTTCCCGATCTTAAAGGAAAAGCTTTCAGCCTCTTGCTGTTAAGTATGATGTTGGCTGTGCATTTGTCATATATGGCCTTTATTATGTTGAGGTACTTTCCCTCTATACCCATTTTGTTGAGAGTTTTTATCATGAATGGGTTTTGAATGTTGTCATATGCTTTTTGGATATCTATGGAGATGATCATGTGGTTTTTGTCCTTCTTTTTGTTGATGTGGTGTATGATGTTGATGGATTTTTGAATATTGTACCATCCTTGCATTCCTGGAACAAATCCTACCTGATCATGATAGATGATCTTTTTGATATTTTTTTGAATTCAGTTTGCTGATATTTTGTTGAGTATTTTTACATTTATGTCCATCAGGGATATTGGTCTTTAATTTTATTTTTTGTGATGTCTTTTCCTGGTTTTAGTACTGGAGTGATGCTGGCCTCATAGAATGAGTTTGGAAGTATTCCCTCCTCTTCTACTTTTTGGAAAACTTTAAGGAGGATGGGTAATAGGTCTTCACTAAATGTTTGATAAAATTCAGCAGTGAAGCCATCTGGTCCAGGGATTTTGTTCTTAGGTAGGTTTTTGATTACCAGTTCAATTTCATTGCTGGTAATTGATCTGTTCAGATTTTCTGTTTCATTCTGGGTCTGTCTTGAAAGGTTGTATTTTTCTAGAAAGTTGTCCATTTCTTTTATGTTATCCAATTTATTAGCATATAATTTTTCATAATATTCTCTAATAATTCTTTGTATTTCTGTGGTGTCTGTGGTGATTTTTCTTTCTCATTTCTGATTCTGTTTATATGTGTAGATGCTCCTTTTTTCTTGAGAAGTCTAGAGGTTTATCTATTTTGTTTATTTTCTTGAAGAACCAACTACTAGTTTCACTGATTCTTTCTATTGTTTTATTATTCTCCATTTTATTTATTTCTGTTCCTAATCTTATTATGTCCCTACTTCTACTGACTTTGGGCCTCATTTGCTCTTCTTTTTCTAGTTTCATTAATTAAGAGGTTAGACTGTTTATTTG